AAGTTTGGAAAATAAATTATGTGGTCACCCTAGTGATAGGTATTATAATTTTGAAGATAAATGAAACCTCTTCCAGTGGACCCATTGTCTAGATGTTGTCAAGGAATATTTTAGGGTATGCCATGTGGAGGAAGGGATCGTTGGAAGTGAGGTGGTTGAAGAGCTCAGAGGCTACTGTGTCATCAGATTTGTCTGTGTGGATGTTCTAGTCACCCAGGATAGTGACAGGAGTCGGGATGGAGAGAAAAATTGTGAGCCATCTCTGGGATCTTCACCGAGTGAGAGAAAGTACCAGGGAGGCTGGTAGAAGACAGCAGTGAAGGGGATGGGGGCAGAATATAATTTGAGGCCACATCTTCAAGGGAGCTGGTGCTTTGAGGGAGGAAGGAAGGGGATAGTTTGGAGGGGACAAAGAGCTGACTTGTCCCCATTCCAGGACTGAAACACATTTGGTGAGAAGGAATAAACTCCATTTGGAGGTTGCAAGAGACAGCCAGGTTCAAGGTAAGTGGAGCAAGAAGGTGAAGGGCTGAGGCTTCTGGGAGCTTGCTGACCACAGAGAAGAGATACCTGAGTCCCAGTGGGAAGGCTAGGGTGGGGAATGGGGTGAGGTTGAATCAGGGTTTGCACAGGGCAATTTGAAGATAAAGGTCCTGAGGATGATAGATGACCTGGGAGGCTTGGGTATAACTGCCACCTTGTGCAACCTAAACTGTGCCCAACCCTGCTGAGGAAGGACTAAAATCTTAACACTAGAAACAGAACCTTAGAGATGATCTCTGTCCATCCCTCAAATTGCAAAAGAGGAAACCCAGGGCAGAAGAAGGTTGTACATACAGATAGGAACAGAAATAGAATTCAGATCTGTCTGCCAATCTTTTGGTTCATTTGACCACCTTTTGTTGGGGTCGCACATGCTAACCCCATCCCCATTTCCACCCCACCCAGTTCTGCATGCTCCAGAGCTTTCTGGGTTCTGCAGACTCTGGAGCCAATCTCCTAAAGCAACTCTATTTTTCATTCCATGGTTGCAACAGAAAAATCTCTTTCGTGCCCTTTCTCCTCAAAGTCAACCAACACAAGTGGGTAAGGAGCACTTGGGCCAGCTTCTCTGGGTGCATATGATGTCTAAACTCCCCTTCTCAGGAGTTAAGGCCTTTCTGGAGAAATTTCTTCGCTAAGCCTCAAAATTTTACAAGGCTCTGTTAAAAATTTCTGGCCAACTGACAGGATTCAGATATTTCTTGTTTCTCCAATCTCTTTAAACCCTTTTGAACAAGACAAAAACTTCCATAAAGCAAGTTTCCCAGCAGCCATCTCAGCTAAAAAATGGAAAAGACAATGCTTCTGTTTCCAAGGATTTTTCCACCCTAAAAGGAGTCTCCAGATAATAATGTTACTTCCTAATCAAAATCCTAAGAGAAGTTCTCCCCTTAGATTACCAATATATAAATGCAGTAAGCAGGAAATATACTTGAAAGCATGAGTTCAATTAATTTGGAAAGAGACACTTATTCAGCTAATGCCTTTGAGGAATTCACAGTCCAGTGGGAAACCACACACAAGTGATTAATTGAAATGATATAATTACAATCACGGGATGGTGCACAAAGTGTGTGTCTGGTGATTACAAACAACCCCATGAGAAATAAAACGGAAATGATGCTTGACAGTGAGTGTTTGTCACACAATGGGCACTGTTCTGTGAGGGCTTCACACGTATCGACTATCATCCCTACAATCTGCTGAGAGACTGTCTCAGTCTGTTTTATGCTGCTATAACTGAATACCTGAGACTGGGTAATTTATAACGAACAGAGATTTATTTCTTACAGTTCTGGAGGCTGAGAAGTCCAATATCAAGGTGCTGACATCTGTTGAGAGCCTTCTTGCTGCATCATCCCATGGTAGAAGGTGAGAGAGGGGGAGAGAGAGAAAAAAGAGAGAGAGAGAGAGGAGAGGGTAGAATTCTCTTTTATAACAGAACACACTCCCACAATAATGACATTAATCCATTCATGTGGGCTCTGCCCCCATGACATAATCACCTCTTAAAGGTCCCACTTCTCAACACTGTTGCATTGGAGATTGTTTCCAACACATGAACTTTGGGGGATACATTTACACCATAGCAGAGATACTGTTGTTCTCATTTTATCATGTGGGCTCTGCCCCCATGACATAATCACCTCTTAAAGGTCCCACTTCTCAACACTGTTGTTGCATTGGAGATTGTTTCCAACACATGAACTTTGGGGGATACATTTACACCATAGCAGAGATACTGTTGTTCTCATTTTATAGATCATGCAACCAAGACATGGAGATGTCAGGTAACTTGCTCAACGTCATAGTGCAGGCACAAGGCAATTCTGAAAATTCAGCCCAGGCAGTCTGACCCCAGGGTCTATATACTTAACCACTTGGCTTCTAATAACAGAGGCACACAAAATAAGCAAAGCACCTCCATGAGAGTTCTCTAGTAAGCCTGACAATTTAAAATATACATATAATTCCACAAAGTCTACTCTCGGGGTCTATTAAATGTACAATGTGAACAGATTCTGTTAAATGTCCAGCGTAAACTCCACTTTCTCCCATCACTCCTCCTGATTCTCTGGACAGCATCCTCACTTAAAATGGGTAATTTTAATCTACAGTCCACAGTCCCTGTAGATTCCCAAATATATTAGGCTCCCCTATCAAACTCTTGCTCATCCTTCAAGTCTCACTCCAAACATCACCTCCTCTTGGAGCCTTCCCTGACTTGCTCAGATAGACTTAGACTCTCTGGATACAGAATCCTGATCCAGCTATCCTCCAGAGACCTTCCTGGTCCCTTTTCATTAGAGGACACAACCTACGCACATCATCAAGGAGATGGAAACCAAAGAATGAAAACCTATTTAACTCACCAGATAGTGCCAACCATTAATACAATGACTCTCGTA